TTGAAATTAAATACATGAATGCATGAGTTTTAAGGTTTCAATTTTTAAAAATGTGAATTAAAATGGCGAATAGAAAGATTCAGAAGCATTTCTTTTAGGGGAACTTTTGGCACTTGCGATCTCCATTTGGAAATTCCCAAAAAGAAAAAGTGGAATTGTTGGCTGCTGTTAAACCTAAAAATGTATGTTGTGTTAGTGCTAGAGAAGAGAACTGTGGCTGTTTGATGTCTCATCCAGATGACAGACATTTAAAGTTGTTTGTGAGCTGCAATTGAAAAGTGTTTAGGAAATTTCTTGTGGTGAAGTCAAACTTGTGGCCTGTGTGGCCACAGGTGTTAATGCAGTCACCTTTCTCACTCATTATGTGTTAACAGACCTCTCTGCTGGAGGTTTCTTCTTTTAACAGGTTTCTTCCTGTTAAAAGGGAGTTTTTCCTTCCCACTGTTGCCAAAGTGCGACAGTGGGACAAAGGGGCTCATAGCTTGCTAGAAGCTTCTTTAAGCCATACTTGCATCTTTTGATTTGTTTATTGAGCCTGTTCGGCTCATTTGTGGTTTAGTGGTTTAGTAGAGTGATTGTAGGGGAGGTCACTCTGCAGAAAGCAGTTAATGCTCAATAATAAAAATGCAGATAAAAGACTTTGAGATGTATTGATGAGCACTTGTAGAGTAGTTGGCACCATTTGTATGCATTTAGTTTTCCTATTACTGGGAGTATTTGTTTGACTGAGGTCAGTCCAGCTGCATCATCTTAATATTTATTGGACTCATTCTAAGGTTTGTTATCTGCAGACTTTAACCAAACTTTGTTTGATTTGATTTGACAAGAAACCATTCTGAACCCACATGCTGAAAATCTTCTGTCTTTGACCATGTAGTCTTTCTTTTTACACTTAAGACTCTCCAAATATGTCTCATTAATATAAATGCCTATTCAGTAAGTAAAAATAGTAGCATTTGTCATCTGGGTTTTATTTGCTCTGCTGGAAGAGTTGGCAGTGAAACCTGTCAAACATGTTTTTGTGTCACTGAAAAGTCCCACTGGGAGCAGTAAAACACTGTTGAAACACATGCATGCACACATCACAGCCCTGACTGTGGGTGACTTTACACTTTGTGGCTTTGAATGCTGCCATGTTAGATTGTGTGTGTTATTACATGTATGTGCGTTTTGTGCTACTCGACTGCTGGGGACAGTTTTCATTGATTTTTCAGCTCTGAGCCTCTTTCTTTCATAAATGAAATGAAAGGAAACACTGCTGCTTGCAGTGCCATTACACAAAGCGTCTCTAAAGTTCATTAAGCATAACTAAAACCACTTGGATGATTTCTGATGTTAACAGGAAATGCTTTGCCTTATTCATAGAGGGTAAAACAGTCAATAAAGTTATTCGTGGTTAACTCATGGTCTACAGTGCTGGGTGAACACTGTCCTTTGACTTCTAACAGCAAGATAAATCTAACGCTAAAATTAAAACTAAAATAAAAAAACCCAAACCTGTATATTCTGAAATGGAAATTTTGAAATACCCATTTCCAAATTTGTCGATTAAACTATAACAATGAATGAATGTTTCATTGTGGCACAAGCGTCTCCCTAAGCAAAACAAACTAAAAGTAGACTGAATTATTAAAAAAATGCATTTTTGTAACGTTTTCCTCTTAAAACATTTTCATGTGTCTCATGAAGTATGAGTGTAATGCTAGAAATACTACATGTATACGTCAGAGACTAAAAATGTGTCTTCAAGTGGTTTTAGAGATGTGAATGTTGGCGAGGTCCTAGTTTGAAGAGGGAGAAGGCCCAGTCTCCTCTGCTGTCGTCTGCTTCTTGGTACCACAAGTATCTGATCAACTGACTGTAACGATCTATTAGCAGGATGCCAGTTAAGAGTTCAGAAAGGTAAGAAGGTCCCAATCTAGTTAGTGAGTAAAGCAGTAGTAAAGATACTTTTGTGACGACTAGTTTGCCCTTTGTAGCCTTGTAACCAGCAGCATACTTCTCACATCATCAGTGAAGCTCTGAACAGGCGTTGGAACTATTTTGTGTATAGCTGCCTTGATGGTGGACACGATGACATTTGGGGGACATAGAAGGATCCAAGAACGGGATTGTTATTGAGTTCCTGTTGTACTTTTTGCTGTGAAAGTGTAGGACGTCACGTTTACACCCACAGACCTGCCTCACTGTGGTATTGGAGGCTAATCTGAAGAGCTCTGACCCTCGGCCTTTGACCCCCCCCTCTAGAGCAAAGACCTTTTCCTCTCTCTTCTCCTCCACCACCTCCTTGAGGACCTCACTTTTCATTTTTTTTGGCTTCTTTCCTTTCTTCTTGTCTTTCTCTTTGCTCCATTGTCCTGCTGGGGACTGGAGCAGAGCTTGGATTTAATGCCTTCACAGCTGAGGGAACCTCATCACCTTCAGGTTTTATATTAAACCTTGGGCATTTTCAAGCTGCATTGACAATGGGTTTCCATCTTTGCGCATCAACGCGGACTCGGGGGGGGACGTCTCAAAGCAGATTTCTTTCTTGTTTCGTTAATTTATGTTTATTTTAAGCTGTGCAGTTTGACACTTAAATTAGTCTTGTGCACTTAAAATTGCCTTTACTTTGTTTTTTTTATGCATATATCTGTAGCTAACAACAGTCTAGTTCAGCATTATTGTTTTCACTACTTTGCCTAATGACAAAACATATATTATAAAAATAACATCTTAATTTTGTGAAGCAGCTGAACAGATATGTCAAAGGCAGGCAAACCCACATGTAAGTAAAAAAGGTGATACTTAAAACTGAAAAGATATAACAGATGAGCGATGTAGCACATAAGTAAATGTGACGCATTTTGTTGTGCTGTCCATCCGCCCACCCATCCATCTTCTTTTCCCGCCCATTCTTAACTTGTTGCCATGGTTTCAGCCAATGGTGTAGGCTGTTGGTTGGCAGGTGGTGACGCCAGAGGTCAAACAGGTTCAGTGGCCGTGGCCTGATGGGGGGTTGGGATATATTTGTCTGTGGGGGTGATGGGTTGGAATGACAACGGGAAGGATAATGAGGGGCTAATGTGTTGATAAAGTTGAACTTTGGTGTAGTCGGTGGTGTTTAAACATGTAACATTTGGACAGGTCTGGCCAAAAAAAAAGTATTTATTTGGGCTGGAGATGGTGACGTAGCTGATAGCCAAGCGCTCATCGAGGATCAAAAGGGTTTTTTCTTTCTTTTTTGGTGAGGTGGGGGAATGGAGTATGGATGGAGGATGTCAGGTATTCTATATGTACAAAAGGCTATTCATCTGTGCTCCAGCCTCCTGGGGGGTTAGGCTGGCGTTTAGTATGGGGGTTGGCCGTTTAAAGCTATTGATGCTCAGTTGGGTGGGGTGCATGGTTCTTAAAGACGGTAAAGATAGAAGAATGATTGGCTAAAGGTTTTTGAGTTACTTAGCCAAATAAAATAACCATTCTAACATTAAAAGATGCCACTAGCATGATTCTTCAATATAAACGGCTTCATTAAAAGTGAAAGATGTAGCAGATAGAGTAGTCTTGAGTAAGGATGAAAATGAGGAACCATCACAGAGGGGGAAGGTTCATGCCTGTGGAAATCTATCCACTGGTGAACTGGTTAAAGAAGAGATGTGGGCAGGAAAACCAGATCTGTTCACACATTTTTAAAAAAGCTGATACAAATGGGTTTATTCGAGGGGAAAATGTGTCGGACTATGGTTCTCTCATTGTGTGTAGGTGGTGTGGCTACTCTTCAGGTCGAGGTGATATAGGACAGATCTATATGAGAAATGCACAGAATTTCCCAACTGGCTACCTCAAGTCTGACATGTTCAGATAGAGACGATTTAAAAAGCTTTGTTTTGAAAATAGCATGTAGGTGAGTTTGGCAGAGTCAATATTGAGTCATTGATGAAAAACTAAACCGTTGCAGAATGGAATTTCAAACCTTCACTGTAATTAGTATTTCAGTTAAATTGCCATGTTTATTAGCTGCAAACTTGCTTTAATCACTGGAGATGGTGTTTCTTTAGTTTTACCAATGCTGTCTCCTTCTGGTTTAATTTTCCACTGTTGTAAAATATGGTTGGCAGTAGTTTCAAAATACTTGGTTTGTCTTATTGTGAAGCTCCATCCACTGACGTGTGGATGAGACATTGATGCAGACTTGGAATCATTTTGGCTGGTCTGTTATTCCTGGGAAGGTTCACCACTGTTCCAAGTTGTCTCTACTTGTGGATAGTGGCTGTCATCATAGTTCGCTGGAGTCCCACAGCCTTAGAAATGGCTTTGTTTCTCCGCTGTTCTTGGGTTTCTTTAAATGATAGAAAATCATTTAAGAGCTGCGTGTGTGTGTGTGCGTGCGTGCGTGTGCATTTTACCCCACTTTGGGTGCCACAAATGTCGTGAACTGAACACTGTCGGTCAGTCTGTACACACCTCCATCCATTTTCTTAACCACTCAGCTGGTTTAGGCTCATTTTTGCAATAGGGTCCATGCCCTCTGTCGCAGGGCAGGAGGCAGGGTACACCCTGGACAGGTCGCCAGTCTGTTGTAGGTCACCACAGTGTTGTAGAGAAACCTAACTGTTCGCTGCTAGAACAGCAAATGTGCATCTTTAGATCTGTAGCTCACAGGGCTTGTTTCTAAGTGATATAAACGTCTTCATCTGAACTAATAATAGCAAAGAAGGTTGGTGCACTGTTTCGGTTTAGTGTTGGACCAAAGGCTATCTTGCTTTCATCACCTG